TAGTTCGATTTATGGAGTTTTTCGAATTATCGAGGTTCGAATTATCGAGTGACTACTGTATTTATGTTGTTCGCAAAAAATTCAAGTTCAATTAATTTATAAATTAATTTTTACTCGTTATGCCATTCTTAACACGATGTGAAGCATGATAGTTGTAATTGTGAGTATGTTCAAGGTATTGAATATTTTTTAAATCGATAAATATTTATTTTTGTTTGATTGCTACAAAAAATATCTGAGAGTTTCAAATAATTGTAAATTACATGCACAGTTGTTTAACGGTAGCATCCAGTCATTTTGTACGACGTTGACTTATCCTGGTTGTATGTCATGCAAAGTAATTAACTCGAAGTAGTGCATAAGAAGTATTACATTTTGGAGTATTAGTTGTGATGTAACCGATGGTGCATATTTTTGTACACCACAAGCCGATCAGCATCATATTTAAAATTATCTTTAAATTCACATCTGTCAAAATGTACTTATGAATTGACAAGAAGATAAATCGCTATCAATCGTTATGGATATGGTAACACGTATGATTTAATATAAATTTAAGGTTGTTTATAAACTAAAAAATCAGTTCTGAACAGTCTGAGGAATTATTTGAAATCTGCATGAAGTATATTTAAAGTATTTAGTAAATTAAAATTTCACAATTTTGAAGATACTCTATCTCTGGTATCAAAATTTTGTTTTTTTAATCATCGTAATTGACTTTATTAAAAATCTAGTTTCATTAATACATTTATTATAGTATTTGTATATAAATAAATACGAAGAAAGTCAATTGTATTTAATAAATATTTACAAATATTTAGTTAATAATATATTAGTATAGAAATTATTATAATATTATATTCATATAATGCACGTGAAGTATTATATTTGTATTTAAAATATATGTTCAATATTATATTAGAACAAAAATAAACACAAATTATATTAATAATGAATTTTGTTAACTTATACATCTTATGGTATGATATTTCATTAATAAGTAATTTGCAACCAGTATTAAGATTTTAATAACAGATATGTAATTTAGGTTTAAATACCACACTGGTATTTGTATTTTAAATGTTTAATTTTTAGAACTTGATTCCACTGAGGTATTTGATAAACTTAATTACATTGAATCAACTCGTGTTGCCGTTTCATCGGGCCCTAATCATAATTACTCGCTAGTATTATAATATCAGTGACTAAGCCTCATAGAACACAATGATACAACGTCTACCTATATTTTAAAATACAAATTAAATCATAAAATTACAATTTATAGTCCTGTATTTTAGCATAAATATCAAAGGGAATCAGGACCGTCTCAAGGTTTTTCGGGGCCAGAGACCAATTAATTTGAGGGCCTTTCGACTATAGTGATAAGATATGATTAACAAAATACTCACTAAAAATAATAAAATTCTTGCAAACGTATTTTTCCAAACCTTAACCAATCAAGCTCATTTAAATTCATGTACTGCATTACATACTTACATAATAGAGTTGAATATTATTCATATTGTTTATAATTTAATCGTACAAGTTGTTACACGCTCACATGCGCGTGACTTTAATCGCCGACACGCAGCGTGTAAAATTGCTCTGTGTAATCGGGGCTTTATTATTAATTATTATACATCAAGACTTTATGGGGGTCCCCTAAAAAATATTCCAACAAGGGGATCTGGAGCAAAATGGTCCCCCTCTAAACAACCATGAAGGGAAATACCGATTTTATTTTTAAAGTTGCACTACGTATCGACCAACACTATTCGGCATAGTTTGGATTCGTATTTTGGATATTTATAATTTTTTCGAATATCGGTTTGTTTTTTATTTCCAGAAATTTTATTCTTGAATTAGCATTTAACAGTATACCTAATCTCTTTACTCTAATACATAAGTATTATATAAGTTTGGAGTAACTTTTAAATATTTCTGTAACAAAATTTTATCAGCTCTCTACGACACGCATTGATCTTGACACCCAACCCCTTCAAGAGCGCATGCAGTTTTATTACTTGTTCACCTCTCTGTGCACCACTACCCAGCATGGATATTAAAATTTGTCATTACTTAGAAGTACAGATGAGTTTTAATGAAATGAAGTTAATTATAGTTATTATTTTTTTTTCTTTATTATTATTAGTATAGTAGGTCTCCACATCATTTTCTCCTTAACCTACACGGGGAATTTTTGGGTAGTATATTTGAATACGAGTGATTATTAAAGTATATGAGAGAAGTTTCTTACGGTTTTTAATTTTAATAAAGAATGGTTTTGATATTCGGTTAAGGGATTCTATTTTTGGGTTCTTAGCGTAAATTTATTTTATTATTAATTTATTTTTAGCGTAGCATGCCTTAAAAAATTAGTCGAAGACATGTTGATTAAAAGGACTGCAGAGTTGAAGTATTTGATGGTCTCGCAGGTCCCCTTAATTGGATACCGTTAGTCTAAAAATCAAAGTAAAGATTTTAATAACATAGGACTGTGGTATCTATAGAAGGGAATTTAGAGCTTTGCGTTTATTTTTTATATGGACGATCGAAATCAGTCTTCTGGATAATAAGACTTAGATATTTGATTTTAGTGTTGTCGGGGATGAGGATATTAAGTGGCTGGAGGATATAAATTATCTTTAAGGTCGAACGCAGTATAAGAAGATTTAAATTTGTTTATTTTTATTTTCAATCACTTGGTCATAAATTAATTATGTTTAAGTGTTGTGAGATCTTTTGGGAAATAATAGTTGAATTTTCAATAAAAGTGGTGTCATCTGCGTAGGTACCAGTTTAATGAATGTTGTTTTGAGGATGTTGTGAGATGAAAAATTGTACAAGAAAGTTATAAACATAAAACAACAAATAAATAATATGAATCAATGGGACGCGTAACCGAAGTGGAGTTAAGAATTAATGGTACGGACGTCGAATTAGTAACACACTCTGTTGGTCAAAATAGTAACTTATTAAACGTAGTGTATTGTACTAAGCTTCAGGGTTGAGACTTATCTAGAAAATATTTATTTGTCTTTTACCTTTTATAAATAAACATTTCGATAGACATATAAGAGTTATCTAAGATTCACATAATCATTATCTTTTTAGTATTTATCTATATAAAATAAATTAACCGAAAAAAATTTTTTTGATCACTCTGAATGCATGCAAAGTGTACTCGCTTGTAAGTTAATATTATGGAGTCCATTTTATTAATGTTATACCATCATAATATAGAAATAAAAACAGGATCAACAAAAATAATCTATAAATGTCTATAAAACAATCAAGCTTTTAACAGGAAATAATTAATTTCCACTTTATAAACTATAACTAAGGTGACCATATATATTTTCCAATCATGAAGGAACAATAAAAAAGAATTTTTATTATTACGATTATAAATTATAAAAAAAAATTTTATTTAGGTTATAATTATTAACAAAATTAAGTACTATTTTGGTTTCAAGGAATAAACCAATTCAATTAATTAATTACACTTATTAATAAGTAATTCGTTTTTACTATAACAACTTTTTTTTTCGTATCAGAAAAAACGTCTATGTAAAGAAAATGGTTGACGATCACTGTAATACTTAAATAATGTACTGTGGAAAATAATTTGATAATTTTGTGATAACGCTAATCAGTGTCGTAACACTGTATGGCTTTGGTAAATGTTGTATTTTTATATATTTCATCCGTTTTCAAAAGTATAACTTAAAAATGATAGACGATCCTGATTTCAATATACATTTTGATGGTACAATTGAAGCCAATCCATGTATTTATAAATTATTATTACATAATTATTTATTACCATGATTTATAATTCTATAAAACTACTGGAATTGCTAGAATATACATGCAATTCTTTGAATACATCAGAAACACTACGTTTAATCTATTGATTCTTATTCCAGAACCCATTACCGTCTTTTTTTTATTATTTGCGTTATTATCATCGATTAATTTCCTCTAATAAAGTAACACTTTCGTCGTGCGATGAAGATGACATAAATAAGACAAATAAAATACTGGTGCTAGTGGTAATAGTTATGCGTAGGCGTTGTATCACACCATATGTCGCTACCTCACATTTGCTATGCCACGCGTCACGTTACTTAGATGGGCGCTCGATTATATAACGTTGTGGATTATATTAAGAATTATTAGAATTAATTAATTGTTCGTCCCACAGCGATTTCGCGAGAAAACCTTAAACTTTTCATATTTTGTAGTGTCTAAAATTCATACCAGGAGTGCATGTGTCAATAGACCGGACGCCGCCATCGCAAATCGTCAATTTACGCAATTTTCGGTCCTAAGATCCTGATACTACTAACAATGCTTCTGCAATCATCGCAGACAGGTCAGGTTATTGATGGATCATTTTTTTCTGATCATTAAAACCGTTTCACGATCGATTTACGTTTTGAGTTTTGTGTACCTAGGAAAAATGCACAAATTGCCCGTCCGAACCGTTTTCTAGTTGTTAATTTGTTTCAATTACTGTCGTGGAAAAAATACAAGGATTGCAGAATTTAAGCTGATCATTTTTTTTCATTATTGTTCGTAAAATTTTATAACATTTGGTAACATTTTTCTTAGTTCTTACACTTTTACGGTAAACTTATATACGCTTAACTTCTTTAGATCATTAGCTTCATCCAATTCACTCTTCTCAATCAGTAAAAAAACAATTGTTTTTCTAGACCATAGTTGTTTATAAAAATATATATATATATATATATTACATATTGTTACATATATATAGCAGTAGGAACTTTTGAACTGGAAAAATAACAATACTACATTTTGTGTTATTAACATTGAAATATTAATTCACTCTCGTACATTACTTTATAAGAAAAAATAGAATTATTTATAATTAAATTTTATTAAATTAGATATAGAACAGAATCGTTTTTTAAATGAGATAATTGCTTAAAAAATGCATAAAAAAAATATTTAATATGACATATAATATGATATTGTATATATGACAGACATTCAGAAAATGTTTCTAGATTTGTCTTCTACGTTAGTATATATGTGTATGAACATTTTAAATAGTAAGGTATATTTTTGGTTTCCACGAATTTTTCTTTGAACATTTTTGTAATTCTGGAATATACCATATATATGAGATTAAAAGAAACTTACTTGTATACTTTCAAGAAGTAAAATCTTATTGTTTGTGATTACTTACGATCAGTGGTATAAAAGAAACTATTTTTTTGAAGAAGTGTAGCTCCAAGTTATGAATACATACATTGTTTTTTCAAATTCAAAATTCGACGAAAACTAAAATTAATTGGACACTTGATTATCTTATGTTATTATCTATCACAAAAATATTATACTGTTCTCTTTAATTATTATCATACAAATATGGGTTGAAAAGTTGTTGCCAACTTTCAATTTCAAAAAATATATCAACCAAAAGTACGATTGAATAAGCAGTTTTAGAGGTTCCATTAAATTAACCACCTACTTCCCATCGAAGTGATATTGTATTATATTGAATGCACTGATATAATGGGGGGACTACATAGGAGAAGCCCGTGTAATTGGACCAGTTTAATATTTTAACAGCGCTGTATATTATTGATCCCATAAATAAATTTAGAAGTGTGTAAAGATAGACTCAACAAAACTGATACCACTCGGGTTATTTATTGTTTACATTATGTCCAAAGTTCATTTGAATAAAAATTATATTTTTCGGCTTTACACTGTTTCTTAAATACACATAATAATTGTATAATAATATATACAAAGTGTTCCATGAGGGTTTACAAGTACTAAGAGTATTTATAAAAATTACAGCTAAATATTAAGACGTTTATATGCAAGACATTGTATCCACACGTAAACGCAATGATTTAAACGAATGGAACTTGATCTACAGTCGATATAGGTTCAAGATTTATGACCTCGATAAAAGACTGATAATGATTTACTAATACGTACTTGTGTTTGAAGTATTGACAGCGAGTCAATATACCTAAATTCATGAACTTTGAAAAAATAAAACAGTTAGTATCAACGTTTGGTTGGATTTTTGAAAGAAACAATAAAAAAACTAGAAACAAGAAAACTGACTTTAATTCAAAGTTGATAACTCATAGAAGAAACTGTAAATATATAGAACAAGTACGAAGACCATTGAACGTGATCATAAAAGAAAAAATTCATAATGTAAATATCCTGGTATAATCTGAAAATTAATTAAATATCGATTACGGTATAAATAGGGTAATTTTGCAGACCGAGATCATTCCTTTGGATATTGCAAATATGAAATTTGCACCCATTACCATTAATCGGTACAGGTCTGTGTTACGACCAAACCATAGGTAATTTAACTTTGAAAATTCGAGAATTGTGTATAACATGTATATGATACTTCAGTCGGGTGACAAACTTATTGCTGTCAAGGTGAACAAGGTTCAATTTCATAATAATTTAATTCAAATGCGTTAATTTTCTTATTTTTATTTTTTGTCATTTAAAAGCTATTTTTTTTATTTTTGAGTAATGTTTTTTTCAATAATTTTTTAATATTTTATATTATCATTTTTTTATTACATATAAAGCGATATATGTTTTCAATATGATTCATATTTGTCGTTTTTTTAACATTTTCATGCGATGCATAGCGGTGAGTTGAGTTGCTGCGACATTGGTCGGCGACAGCAATATGTCTCTATGTGTGACCGGCCAGCAACGTAGTTGCTCTTTAATCATTGCACGGAAATGTCTGTTTTTTCGTCTTTTCTTTATAATTATCAATTGTTCTAATAGTTAAGAGTCATGAGGCACTGAGATCACAAGTCTTCTTTTCATGGTGGCACTGAGGCATCTTTATTAACATTATGGTATCCGGTGGCTGTAGCTTTAGTCGTGAATCCATTATCGTCATATGGTGCACAATTAATCTCTCGAATCTTGTTTTTTTTCGTTGTGTGCACCTCGAATTCGTTCACGTGTGTTGTTATTGCTACATTCATTTTTTGTTCAAACCACGTTTTTCTTTATTTTGACGTTTGAAATGTGTTGTTCTACAGAACTTCATTGCCTTACATTTATTCGTTACCATGTTTTAGGGTTTTCGTTCACTTACCAACATCAATTGTGATTTAATGTAGTTTTCGTCCTCCACTGCAAACTTGTATCTTTGTTCGTGGCTGTAGTTCAGTGGTTGCATTCACGCAGAGGCTGTACCTTTATTGTATTAAATGCATTGTATTGCTTACATTCCTGGTGCATGGGATGAAATCCGCCATCTACAATATAGTCACATGTGAGTATTGGTCGGTTTTAAGTATCAAATTTATGTTCCGACTGATTGATGTAATATATTGGTGTAATGACATTAATCATTCAAAAGTTAAAGCGGTGATTAGTGAGAAAACTAAGGTAATAAGTAATAGTATAATTAATGTAATTGGTCCGATCTATAAATAATAAAATAATAAAAATAAATAAACGGGTGTAACAAAAAAAAAAAAAAAAATCACTTAAAATCTGACCGAGAATCGAACCGAATCTTCTTTCGAATTTCTTAAGGAATACTTGGGAGAAACAGAAAAAAGATGACGTGCCTCCTTATCTAACGGTTCGAGGCTTTGTATTCTTTTACTGCTGTCACCCCCAGTTAATGCATTCATCCATGGATCATCCATACATTTCCATAGAAATGCATTAACTGAGGGCGTCATCAGTATACAATCCATACTTTTCACCAGATTTTAATTCGACACGTCATCTATGTTTACAGCGCCCGAATGAGACAGCTCGGACGCACAAGTGTTTAACAATTTTTACTATTATTTAAAATAAAGAATTTAGATTTAACCAGATAAAAATAATAAAAATAAAAAATAAATAAGTATCTATTATTTTATTTAAATAAAAATCCTAAGGCTATCTCAGAAATCTTTAGTTATTTATCGTAATTAATCTGGACATGTATTTTTTTTTTTACGATACTTAATCAAATCGTTGAACTCCGTAATTCCTTAAGAATGACTACAGCAAAAAGGTATAAAATTGACCCCGCACACAAACTCGTATGACAACACTTGTTCACGGTGAAATTCACAAATCTATAGTGCTGGACGACGACAATGAATTAAGCCACGTTATTCATAATGGTCGCTGAAACAATGGGAACTATAACAAAATGGCAATATAACTGCGCAAAACGACACTTACCAAAAGACCAATACAAATTTGATCGAAAACGTGGTTTTACAAAAAAGGCTGTAGACGAACGATGAATTTACAAATTTTGCATGTACACCATAGGCGCAACTAGGGGGGCGCAATAGTGTTTTTAGCACTCCTGTTTTTTTTCTTTCAGATCTATATAATATATAGTAATTATAATTGAATACCATTTTATTTTATTTTCAGAAATTTCAGCGACCCCAATATTTGGGCTCTTGTTGCGCCCATGATGTAAACACGAATACGGACCAAACGAGAGAGAACGAGTCGGTGCCAATAACATTTTCATGAAGGCTATGACCACCGGACACCAAAATGAAGATAATTGCCTCAGGGTCACTACCTAAAAAATAGTATACTCGAACATGAGAAACTTTATGACACTAAGACTAAGAAATGACTTTAACTTAGATTGAAACATAACCGAACTTATGAAAATACTGAATAACGGGCGTTATTTTTTGGACGTTTTATATTTTTTACGTACGACGATAACAACGGCATACACGCCTATTGACCGGTCACTTACGGAGACACCGTTTCCAATGACATATACTGCAACAGAGCAACACGCCAGGAGCGTCTAAATACAGTATTTAACCGTGATGATTCTGCGCATGCAGGAGTTGTTATCATTAATATTTCGGTACGTTTCGTATGACACTACAACCCAACACACACTTTTTCTAACTCATGTCTCAGATTTCAAAACAAGAGACAAGAGTGTAAAAAGTGATAAAATACGAACTACGAACTGGAAATTTCAAGACCCGGCTCAAATGTTTGATTACACTTAGGCAAACTTAAGTTTTGCCGCCCTTTTACATGTAAATTCTACACCAAATATTTTTTTTTTTTTTACACAAGCAATACTAAAATAGACTTAATTCTGAAATCTTAGTGTTCTGGCTAAAATAATTAAATCTACGAATACATCGTGTATTCCAAAAATTAGAGTAGTATATATTATATATTTATGATGTATTATATTTCGATTTAAAATTTATTTTTATGGTTTTTTTTTTTTTGCGGCTCACCGAATTGATACCACTATTTAAGCAATCTATGTCCAATATTACTCTTATATTCTATAATAATTTATTGAATATTTTTATTTTCACCAAATTGTATTTCATTTATTTCTTGCTCAAAATGTTGTATCGATAAAAAAATAGAATTCTACATTGTTAGAAGGACTAGAAAGCGATGAACAGATGGAATAAGAAAGAATTTGGAAACACTCAAATCAATTCTTACAGAATTGTAAAGCCAAGAAAAAAAAATCCCAATAATATACTTGTATATTTTTATTGTGTATTTATTTACAATGAAGTGTATGAGATGAATGTGAGACGATCATGTCCGGAGTATAAATAAAGGTAAAATAACATTCATTAGCATAAATGATAAATAATAAATATCAAGAATTTAAAAAAAGAAAAAAAAAGACAAGAAAAATTATAACTACAAATAGGTCAAAAAAAAATTTTGTAGGCAAAGATGGCTTGTTAATGACAAAACATTTTTTCGGCCTCAATAATTAAACGAAAATATGTTAATTAATTAATATTTCCTTTAATTTGTTTCCAAAATACACATTTATGATTGCATACAATTTCGTAACTTAACTTTTTTTTTTATGTTTCTTTTTTATATGAACTATCTATTAATTATTTTTTTATAATAAGCATAACATAAAATGTATATTTAACACATGTGATATAATTTTTTTCAATTTGAACGTATGATAATAGGAAGTACCCAGTAGTAGAATAAATTAATTTATTCTTAATTTACATACTTGCATATACATATATTATATGTATACATTATTTTAATTTTTTATTTTCAGTTTACATTAGAAGATCTCTACATTGGTTTATTTTTTGCTTTCTCATCGGGTTCCTCAGGATGTTGACGGAGTCAAAGCAATGAGGTGCGTTACCCCAGCACCCGCACTTTCGAAATCATGAATTGTAATTAAGCAGTATTATGTACTTAATTTTGTACAATTTTGTACAACCAAAATTAAATTTTGTACAACCCTCGAACCTCCCCGGAATTCAATTTCATTTTACGGGTGCTGGGGTAACGTTACACCAGCACCCGGATCAAGTATTTTTCACAAATTTCAATTTTAAACCGTACAGTATTATGAACTTTATTTTGTACAATTTTGTACAACCCCCAAACCTCTCCGAAATTCAATTTCATTTTACGGTTTCTGGTTCCCAAACCAGAGGCGGCTCGTGAGGTTCATAGAAGTTCGAGTACAAAATTCTAATATTTCCCCTTTATCTATTATCATAGTTTACCACCTTCAACTTCTGTTGGTAATTCATTTAATTAAATTCTTTATTATGTACTAAATTATTTTCCATTTTTATAGGTTAATTCTATATTCTGGAACATCTATGTTAATACTTTTTATTAAACTTTTAGATTCTTAACGGAGTGATGAACGTGTTTATTTTACAATGATGTGTGTGTAGTAAACCACCGGGTAGCTAACATCCACTAACATTATATCATGTATTGATACTGTGGCAAAACCGAAACGGAAACCAATATCAATACTTATTCGTATTGATATGCAGTTCCCACGGAACAGAGCCTATTTTCAATACCACAGAAACAAGCTTCCTTGTTCACATCCGGCAGAATCCCCATCGAC